CAGTACAGCGCAAGGGCAGGTCCCTCAACCCACCATGTCTGTGCCAATCTTGATGCCATTCTAAACTAATCCCAAAGGCCTGCTCATGGTTCGTATTCCTCTTTTCACCGCCTGTTCACCTTAAATATTGCTATAGACTCTGCTTTTACCACCTTCCTTGACAGCGTGTTCCAGGCACCTACCACCCTGTGTAATAAACTTGCCTCGCACATCTCCTTTAAACTTTTTCCCTCTGAACTTGAATCTATGCCCCCGAGGGCAGGTTTGTCCAACCTCTCCTGATAGCTAATGCATTCCAATCTGGGCAACATCCTGGTAAATCACTTTTGCATTTTCCCCAAAAACCTACACATCCTTCCTGTGGTGTGATGACCAGAATTGCACACAATACTCCAAATATGGCTTAACTAAAGCCTTATACAGTTGCAACATAACTTTCTAACTTTTATACTTAATGCCCCAACCAATGAAGGCAAGCAAGTCTTACGTCTTCTTGAACATCTTATCTAATTGTGTTAATAAATGTGGAGCTGGCCAAACACAGCAGGTCAGATGGCAGAGGAGCAGGAAAGTCCACGTTTTGGGCCAAAACCCTTCGTCTTGGGCCAAAACCTGTCGTCAGGACTCCTATTGGCTGACCTGCTGGCTTCAAGCATCTACAGTCCTCACTGTCTCCTTATCCACTAGTGTTGGCATTTTCAGGGAACTTTGGACTAGCATTCCAAGATCTCTCTGTATACCAATGCTCCTAAGAGTCTTACCATTTAATGTAGATTGGAAAAGCCCTCAATAAAATTCTTGGTGTCACTCTCTTCTCAGTGAATGGCTGATAATCACATCACATCACATTGTTGTTCCACCTCCACCAATGAATATTCATTCATTATTCCGAGATAGTGGCATTGATTTTATCATGTCTTATAGGCAAAGGCAAGGTGTAGAAGTGCATTTTTGGTGCTGCAATATGCAGCCCAGGGAAGTGTAACTTGGAATGTGCTACCTAATTTTTAGTAAATTAAGTAGTTAGAGACGAGTCAGGAGAACAACCTTCAGCAGGGTAGGTCCATTGGTTCCCCCTGGAAGACTGGAGGAGATATCCAGTTCCTGATGGCCCACAAGGAACAAACAAAGAAGAACAGGACAGCATAGGAACACGCCCTTTGGCCCACCTTGACTGTACGAACACTTGGTGCCTTTTGCCTCTATGTAGTCCATATTCCCCCTATTCCCTTCCTAATCATGTACCTGTCAAGATACTTCCTAAACGTTGCTATTACATCCGCCTCCACCACCTCCTCTGGCAGCACATTCCAGGCACATACCCTCTGTGTAAAAAAACTTGCCACTCACCTCCTTTAAACTTACCCCCTTTTATCTTAACCCTATGTCCTCCAGTAATTGACATTTCTACCCTGGGAAAAAGACTCTGACCATCCATTCTATCTGTGCCTCTCATAATTTTGTGAACTTCTATCAGGCTGCTCTTCATCCTTCAATATTCAAGTAAAAACAAACCAAGTTTGTCCAATCTCTCCTCATAGCTAATATCCTCCAAACCAGGCAACATCCTGGTAAAACGTTTCTGTACCCTCACCAAAGTTTCCACATCCTCCTGGTGGTGTGGCGACCAGAACTGTACACAATATTCCAAATGTGGCCTAAAGTTCTACTCAGTTGCAACATAACTAATTTTTTGTACTCTATGCTCCAACCGATGAAGACAAGCATGCCATATGCCTTCTTGACAACCCTATCCACTTGTGTTGCCGCTTTTAGTGAAACCGTGGACCTGTACATTTAGATCTCTCTGTAATTTGATGCCACTGAGGTTCTGCTATTTACTGTATAATTCCCACCTGAATTAGATCTTTTAAATGCATTACCTCACAGTTGTTCAGAATAAACTCCATCTATTATTTCTCCACTCAAGTCTCCAGCCAATCTATATCTTGCTGTATACACTGGTAATCCTCCTCACTATGTGGAGATCCTTCAATCTTTGTGTCACCTGCAAACTTGCACATCAGGCCACCTACATTCTCCTCCAAATCATTTATATGTATAAAACAACAGTAGTCCCAAAACCGATCCGTGCAGAACATCACTGGTTTACATCTCCAGTCAGAAAAACACCCTTCCATCACAACTCCCTGAAGTCAGGGACAACAAGGTGCAGAGCTGGATGAACACAGCAGGCCAAGCAGCATCATAGGAGCAGAAAGGCTGACGTTTCTGGCCTAGACCCTTCATCCCTGAAGTCAATTCTGTATCCATCTTACCAGCTCAACATGGATCCCATGAGACTTCAAATTTTGAATCAGCCTGCTATGAGATACCTTGTCAAAGGCCATGCTTAAAGTTTGTGTAGACAACATCCACTGTATTGCCATCATTAGTTACCTTTCTCATTTCCTCAAAGAACTCAATCAAGTTTGAGACATGACCTTCCCCACACAAAGTCCATATTTTTCTAAATGCGAGTAAATCCTATCCCTAAGGATCTTCTCCAATAATTTCCCTACCACTGACGCAAGGCTCACCGACCTGTAATTTCCCAGATTATCCCCATTGCCCTTCTTAAACAAAGGGCCAATGTGGGCTATTCTCCAGTCCTCTGGGAGCTCTCCTATAACTAAAGAAGGTACAAAGGTTTCATACAAGGCCCCGGCAATTTCTTCACCTGCTTCCTTCAGCATGCTGGGATAGAATCCATCAGGTCCTGAGGATTTCGCTATTTTAATGCTTTTCAAAACCACCCAACATCATCTCTGTTTTTAGAATCAATATGCCCTAGAATAATCATCATACCTCTCCCAAGTCTTACCATCCAACACGTCCTTCTCCTTTATGAATACTGATGCAAGACCTCACCCACTTCCTCTGGCTCCATGCATATATTTCCTCCTTTGTCCTTGAGTGGGCCTTCCTTTTCCCTAGGTATCCTCTTGCTGCTTATATATGTATAAAAAACCTTGGTATTTTCTTTGAACCTGTTTGCCAAAGATATTTCATGGCTCTTTTCAGCCCTCCTAAGACCTTGTTTGAGGTCGTTCCTGCTACATTTGCATTCTTCGAGGGCTCTGTCTGGTCAGCTTCTTAAACCATATGTATGCCTCCTTCTTCTTCTTGACTAAGCTCTCAATTTCTCTCATCATCCAAGGTTCCTGAATCTTGTCATCCTTATCCTTCATTTTCACAAAAGCATGCTGGGTCTGAACTCTAATCAACTGGCCTTTAAATGATTCCCGCATGCCAGATGTGGATTTACCCTTTAACAGCTGCCCCGAATCTAAATTCCCCAGTTCCTGACTAAATAGTCAGCTTCCCCCCCAGTTTAATATTTTCACCTAAGGACGACTCTCAATATTATTCAAAAGTAACTTAAAACTTATAGAATTATTGTCACTGCTCCCAAAATGAAACTTCAATCATCTGGCCAATACCAGGTCTTGTATGTCCACTTCCCTAACTACACTAGTGTCATATTGTTTCAAAAAAATCGTTCTGGACACACCAAACAAATCCCTCATGACACTATAGACTTCAGAGCTTTAACAATTGTTCACAGATTGAAAGAATGAACACAGATAAACTGTTACACACGGAAAGAAGCAGCAATAACTCTGTCTGGAATAAGCTATTAAGGGACAAGGACAAACTTAAACAGGAATTGAAATCAATTAGCCATGTCTGGGAAAAGGAGGAATGAAGGCTTATATGAACAAAACTGTTTTGACATCTGCTTGATAACTGACTACTCATGCCACAAGGATAATTGACTGTTCTGCAGAAGAATTTAAGGAGTTAACTGCAAGAAAGCTGTGTTCTCAAACAGATAGTCAATGCTAAATGTAACAAGGAATAGAGAAGTTACTGCTGATAAGAAGGCAAGCTGCAGATTTCATGGTTTCAAGAAGTGTAGTCAATAATTTGGATGAAAGAATCTAAAGATTCATAAATAGTATCACATCACAGATCAGAAGGATAAAAAAATCTGTATGAGGATCCAACACCAGAAGCCTTCATTAGCAAGCCTTCAAAGAACAACACCATACAAGGATCGAACCCTAGACACTTCCAGAGACAGACATTGTTGCTTGGAATCATAGCTAAATTCTACCACTCATCAAGATGAGTTGTGAGGCTTAACCAACCCGGGGGACTCTTATTCTGGTTGCTACATGTAATAGAGTTTAAATCATTATTTCAGTACTTGACTGTCTCTGAGATATCTTAATAAGTGGTGAGTTAAAGATAACTTGTGGTGATTTAACCACAACATCCCTATCCAAGCCCCAGACCTAAGGGAGCCCTAGTCATTACAGGGGAAGTTAAAAATCACAAACAACCCTGTTGTTTTTACATTTTCCCATAATCTATCCACATATTTGTTCCTCTATCAACCTCTGGTTTTTGGGAATCCTGTAATAGAATCCCATCACATGACTGCACCCTTCCTATTTCTGAGCTCTATCCATGTGGCCTTACTGGATGAGTCCTCCAAGGTGTCCTCCCTCAGTACAACTGTGATGTTGTCCCTTATCAGTAACAGAACTCCTTTACTTCTTGTATATCCCTCTCTATCTTGCCTGAAACGTTTAAATCCCAGAACTTTGAGCTGTCAGCCTTGTCCCTCACTCAACCAATCAAACCAAACAATAAATTATTTACTTTTCTGACTGACTTTTATATCACAGATCTGCCTGGCCCCAGGTTGAAATGACAAGGAAGCCACAATAGTTTCCCTGAGAGGCCTCAAGTTAAAACTGTAGTTAGACCCTAATGGCCTAATCAGAGAAAGACTTGCAAATTTAAGAAAGGACCCCAGTGTCCCATGGCTGGAGCATCACTGACCTGAAAAGAACAGAACACAAATATGATGCAAAAGGCAGTGACTTCTGAGTGTATGTAAATCACTGCAGTTATTTTGACTGCCCATTCGCCTAAATTCCACTGGGAAGGCAGCATTAAAATCTGCCCTCATTGTAGTACGTTCATACCTGTCTCATCAGTATCTTGATCCTCAAATGGAGCAACTGCCACTCCCATTTCCGTGCATTTCTTGCTATGAGCTTTAGACTTCATGTGCTTAGTCAAGTTTCCTTTGAAAGCAAATAAAATATCAGTCAGAGTAGCTTCTATGGGAGTCCACATTTAGCCTCATATTGAGCTATTGAAGTTGATCACTTAGTTATACATTCAAACAGTTCTGTAAACAGCGTTACTTCTTTTTAATGTCCATTTAATCAATAATCTAACAGCAAGGATCAGTATGAAAGCAAGAATGAAAAGCTCTGCATGAGCACTATTGGAATCATCAAAAAAGAACATCCTTATTAGGTAAATCATCAGTTCCACTTCCATTACAAAATCAAGATCAGGAACCACACTCAGTGCTGGACTCCAACAAGGTCATAAGACAAGCCAAGTCAGCAAACAGGGGTGAGGAGCCACCAAACTTTGGTTTTAAAAATAAGAAAGTTGAGGAAGGTAAGCAATGCCATACACTTTAGATCCTGTGTGAAATGATTCAAAACAGAAAATAGCAACAAATCTTCATTCTACAAAGTGGAGTTGGCCACGTTCCTTCTCATTCTGGCTTTGGAATATAGCTTCACATTGTTCTAACACGTTTTTGGGGCAATATTTTCCTTTTATAACTGCACATGCACACAAGTCATTTTGGGTAAGAGGGTAAAACAAACAAGTAGCAATAACCAGTTCTGACAAATTCATGCTTGAGTTCAATGATTGTTGGTCAGCTGAAAAATGTCACCTGCAGATGATAATGCAAAACAGGTCAACAGTTGTCAACATTCATTGTCTGTGGTCTCAAGTATAGAAAGGCTATTCTGATGTGGAAGTGGAAGCTGGAAGAGGAAAACACTGAAGACATCAGTACCCTGAAGTGAACAGCGAACAAACAGGAAAAGAAAAGAACATCACACAATTTAAAAGGCATCATTCTTAGTTCAGTGGTAGTACTCTTACCTGAGCAGAAAGCTAGTGATTTCAAATCCACAAGACATCCCATTGGACTATTTAAAGAACATCAGGGAAGGGGGCATGATTATTTTAAGTTACTTCACTGCATATAAACTAGATGCAGTGACCCAAAACTAGCAGATATGGAAGTTACTGTCCCATTCCCGTTCCTTATTGGGCTAACACAATCCTGAAAGAGGCCTACTGTTGAACAGTTGAGACATTCCTATTTGGCAGATTCCTTTTCATGCGAAAACTGGGGTTTTATGGTGCACGTACAACCAACTGCCATTTTGGGAGCAGTACACACAATGCATGCTCCACCCACCTTTTTACTGGTATATGGATCTCTAGTGCTACATAAATGTAGGCAATTCTCAACTCTCACAGATTGTTAAAATATTTTCTTGTAAGTTTTTCCATTCCTTCCACAAGATAACGGGTGATGGGCAACAAATGTAGCCTTGCTAACAAGAACCACAAATTAACCATTGATTGTAGGCTTTCTAATCCAGCTAATACAATCTAGGTCATTCAAGAGACCAGTCTCAAATTTTAAAATATTTCGTCTTTCTCTTGAAATTGAATGTTGTTGTGGATTTAGGAATGAGAAAGAAATAAAGAGAAGTCGACATCAGGACATTACATGTATTGGACATTTTGTATTTTTCATCTTTGGAGCTGTGACTTAGTGACACTAAGAGAAGGGATCACACAACAATTTCAGCCATCTGCAGAAAGGGTGTTGCATAAAGCATGTGAATAGAATTTAAGCATTATTATAAACTGCGGTGATTTAGGAGACAAAGTAAGCACCTAAAGCCATTGTACGCAGCATCAATTTACCTTTTGTTTTAAAGGAGAAGTTGCAGTAATTGCAGTGATAAGGTCGGAGGTCAGTATGGGTGCGAATATGTTTCCTCAGCATACTCGGCTTCTTGCAACGTATTCCACATTCTTCACAAATGTACTTTCCCCTTCCTCTGCCCCGAACATACACATATTCTTCATTTGATTTATATCTTTAAAAATAAAGAATAAAATTGGATTATAATTTGCCATTACTTTGGTCTTTCAGGTAACCAAACTATTTGTAAGTGTAACAGTATAGATGAAGACTGAAGTGGAATGAATACATCACACTCACACTTAAACTTGTGGGTAGATTTATCTCCCACCACAACAGAAATTAGTAAAATGCATGAAAGCACATCATACTTCACCAAAAACATGAGAAGTTTTGGTTTAAACGTTCGAGCTATGGGGTGTCTAAGCAATCTACTCTGAAGGAGCTAATTGGTAACACAAAATTTAAGTGAGACTCCATTCCTCATAGTTTGGAAGCTGTTTGCATTTAACATCAATCTCTCCTTTCCTCTGATTGGTCCATGCCCTTCTATTATTAGATGTGACTCCACAATTGGGCTGCACTTGTTGAACAGTCCTGCATGTACTAATAGCTATACTAAAAACAATTTATGAGAGGAGTTGAACTCATAATGTGGCTCATTTATGCTTGTTTAAAACAACATATATTCATACATTGTTACATTTTTTATTCGTTCGTGGGATTTGGGTATCACTGGCTAGGGCAGCATATATAGTCTGTCCTTAATTGCAGAAGGCAGTGGTGGTACATTCTTGAACTGCTAGAGGCCTTGGAGTGTAAGAATACCATCAATGCTGTTAGGAAGGCACAGCCAGGATTTTCAGCCAATGACAGTGAAGGAATGTCAATACAGTTCCAAGTCAGGAAGATGTGTGGCCTGAAGGGGTACTTATTGGTGATGGTGTCCGTACTCGTTTGCCGCCTTTGTCCTTCCAAGTGGAATGGGTCACAGGTTTGAGATGGTGTCCATACTCGTTTGCTGCCTTTGTCCTTCCAAGTGGAATAGGTCACAGGTTTGAAAGATACTATCAAAAGGAGCCTTGATGAGTTATTGTAAGCAGAAGCAATATGTTCAAGACTTTTTTGAATGACCTAGGATGCTATTGTTCCCTATTGCTTTGTCCACAGTAGCACCTTGGTGAATCAATCTACACCTTTTCTCCTGTTGTAGAAATTATTGTGATTGTTTGAAATTTAACATTTGTGTTTGTTCTAATGAACGCAAGGTTAAATGTTTCAGCAACATGCCTCTCTTTTCAGCAATACTCAGTACTTTGTCTCATTGCGTTTTAACTACCTCCCATATTTTCTGATTCCGAATCTCAGTTCTAACATTTTGCTAACAATGACACATCAGGTGAAACACAAGAGCAATATTCTGCAACACATTTATGGCAGCAGAGTGCTATCAACTAAAAGGAAACTCACAGCCAGACAAGTAAATCCTAGTAGAATTGTTGCTTTCAGCATATGCCCAATTTAGATGACAGCTAAAAATAACCATTTGGGACTACAGAACTTGAGCACTGCAGAAAAAAAGTTTAGTTGAAACTTTTCAGGGCAATTCAGAAGAATACTAATTTAAGGGGAAAACTAACATTTGAACTATACGAGAGAAGAATGCTAATTGGTTAGTAAGCAGACTGATTGGTGGAGTCTGCTCACCAACTTTAACTCAAAATAGATGACAGCCATTTGCCAGTTCATTTCTAAGGGCAATGCTTTGACCAGTCAGAGTCAACCTGCCTGGTTTAAAATTTAACCAAAGCCTGGCAGTTAACAATCATCAATAACTGGTGCATTCTCCATGGCAATGCCTGTTCCAATCAAGGTCCACAAGCATTCTCAACTCAAAGTAGAAATATTGTTTTTTTCTTAAATTGGTCTTCTTTGATATTGTCCTGAAGAGTGCAAGACGAAAAGTCTTTGTTTAACAATACCCTCAAGTACAATTAAGAAAGAACCCCAAAGCCTGATCATCATCTATCAAGCACATGTTAGTTTCATGATAGAATACATCACACTTGCCTGGATAAGTGCAGCTCCAACCGCACACAAGAAGCTTGGCAGCAATCAGAAAAAAAACAGCCCACTTGAGGGGCACAATATCTACAAACTTCCACTCCTTGCACCACTGACACTCAGTAGCAGTGAGTTCTATCTCGGAGACACACTGCAGAAATTCACCAAGGCTTTTTAGACAGCACCTTTCAGTCTTGTGACCACTGCCATCTAGAAGGATACATGGGAACACTGTCATCTGCATGTTCCTCCCTAAGCCAATCAACATCCTGACTTGGAAATATACCACTGTTCCTTCAGTGTTACTGCATCAAATTCTTGAAATTCCCACTTTAACAGCATTGTGGACTGCAGCAGTTCAAGAAGGCAGCTTACCTCCATCTTCTCAAGAGCAAATAACGGAGGTTCAGACAGTGAAGCCACATTCCATGAATGAATTTAAAAGAAAATGCAAGTTACTTTGCCACTCTACAAATCCTTTCTTTAAAAATTAGTTTAAGGAAAAGGGTTTTAAATATCAACTTGCCCCCCATCGAAGATCCTGATTCGCCTTGGTTCAATTACAGCATGCTCTTTATCGGGATCACCAACTTCTTGATGTTCACACTTGTCCTTACTGTTAGGTTCACTGATTGCAACTGTTTGAATGCTCAGGGCCTGTCCAAAACAAATAATCTATTTAACAGTAGCTGTGGAAGATAAGTACACGTTCCAGATAAAAACAATAATATGAGTTTTAAATTGAATAATTATTAAATTATGGTTGATTTTTGTATTAGCTTTGAGATGAAGGAGCAAAGGTCAAAAACAAATATTTTGCAGCAACTTTGAAAGAATAAGAAATAAATTAACCACAGTAAATTGAGTTGGCTTGTGAATTGACAAACCTAAGGACAAAGAGAAGGAAGTATTCAAATAAGTATTTGGTACATGAAGGCAGAGCAGTGGACGTGGTCTACATGGACGGCAGAAAGGCGTTCAACAAGGTTCCACATGGTGGACTGGTTAGCAAGGTTAAATCACATGGAACCAAGGACAGCTAGCCATTTGGATAGAAAATTGGCTTGAAGATAGGAGACAGGGCGATGTTGGAGGGCTGTTTTTCAAACTGGATGCCCGTGATCAGCAGTGTGCTGCAAAGATTGGTGCTGGTCCACTGCTTTTTGTCATTTATCTCAATGATTTGGATGTGAATATATAAGGAATGGTTTGTAGGTTTGCAGATGACATCAAAATTGGTGGTGTAGTGGACAGTGAAGAAGGTTATCTCACAGTACAACGGGACCTTGATCAGATGGGCCAATGGGCCGAGGAGTGGCAAAGGGAGTTTAATTTAGATAAATGTGAAATGTTGCATTTTGGAAAGGCAAATCAAGGCAGGACTTATACACTCAATGAAAGGGTCCCAGGGAGCATTGCCAAACAAGGAGATTTTGAGTTGTAGGTTCACAGTTCCTTGAAGGAGGAGTCACAGGTAGACAGGGTAGTGAAGACGACACTTGGTGTACTTGCCTTAATTGGTCAGTGCACGGAGTATAGGATTTGGATGTCATGGTGCCGATTTACAGGACATAGTATTCCAAAAGTGGCCTAAACAATGTTCAATTCTGGTCTCCCTGATATAGGAAAGATATTGGGAAACTTGAAAGAGTGTAGAAAAGATTTATAAAGAATGTTGCTGGAGTTGGAGGGTTTGAGTTATAGGTAGAAGCTGTTTTTCCTGCAGCATTGGAGGCTGAGGGGTGACCTCAGAGGTTCATAAAATAATGAGGGCCATAGATAGGGTGAATAGTCAAGGTCTTTTTCCCAGCGTAGGAAAGTCCAAAATTAAAGGGCATAGGTTTAAGGTGAGGAGGGAGAGATACGAAAGGGTCAATATTTTCATGTGGAGGGTGGTGCATGTATGGAATAAGTTGCCAGAGGAAGTGGTGAAGAATGGAACAATTACAATATTTAAAAGGCATCTGGAATGGGTACATGACTAGGAAGAGTTTAGAAGGATTTGCCATGCCACAAAATGGGACTGGATTAATTTAGGATATCTGCTTGACATGGATGAGTTGGACTGAAGGGTCTGTTTCTGTGCTGTACCACTCTATGAAGGCACTGATTGCAGGATAGGCTGTTTCAAACAGAAGCTAACTCTGAATGTAACAAGGGCCGGGGGTAGCTACTTCTGATAAGAAGGCAAGTTACAGACTTGAGTTCTCCAGAAGTGTAATCAATGTTGGGGATAAGGAATTATGAATCATTATTGATGTCACACCACAAACTTGAAAGAGAGAAAATTGTATAAGAATCCAACAGCAGAACTTCAAAGAATAACACCGCACAAGGACTGAACCCTGGACATTGGCATCCAGGCTAGATCCCACCATGGGTAATACCCAAGTTGAGTTGTGAGGCTTAACTTGCTTACAGTGTGGAAACAGGCCCTTCGGCCCAACAAGTCCACACCGAACCTCAGAATCCCACCCAGATCCATCCCCCGATAACCCACCTAATCTACACCTCCCTGAACACTACTTGCAATTTAGCATGGCCAATCCACCTAACCTGCACATCTTTGGACTGTGGGAGGAAACCCACACTGACACGGGGAGTGTGCGCAAACTCCACACAGACAGTCGCCTGAGGCTGGAATCGAACCTGGGTCCCTGGCGCTGTGAGGCAGCAGTGCTAACCACTGTGCCACCATACCGCCCAACTTGAGAGGTCTTATTTTGGTTGCTACATACAATAAAGTTTAAATCATTGTTTTAGTACTTGACTGTGAGATTTCTGAATAAGTAGCTGAATTAAAGGTAACTATGGTGTTTTACCCACAATACTAAGAAGCCCAGAGAAACCTGGATGTCAAAGGATATTGGATATGGAAAAAAATAAAACTTATGGTGGATGCTGAAAGCTGAAAACAGGAGATGCCTGAGTGGAGTATAGAAAATGCAACGGTTGCTTTATAAAAGAAATTAGGGGAAAGACGAAGGGACATGAAAAAACACTAGCAGATAACATTAAGGAGTTTTATCATTATATTAAGGACCGGAAGATAACCAGCAAAAGAGTAGGGCCCATTAGAGACTAAAAGTGGCAATCTGTATTCGTCGCTGGAAGGCAAAGCTTAAGTTTTAAATGAGTATTTTGCATTTGTATTTTCTATAGAGAAGGACGATGTGGGTATACAAATCAGGAAGGAGGAATTTAATATACTTAAATAAACTAACATTAAGAAAGGGGAGGTATATAGCAGTTATAGCAGGCTTGAAAGTGAACAAATCATCAGGACAAGGTGAATTGTATCCCAAACTGCTGTGGGAGGCAAGGGAGAAGATTGCTGAGGGTCTGACATTAATTTCAAATTCTCTCTGACCACAGTAGAGGTACCAGAGGACTGGAGGACAACTATTGTATACCATTACTCAGTTACGAGTGGTGTACCACAAGGATCTGTCCTGGGTCCTCTTCGATTTGTGATTTTTGTAAATGATTTGAATGAAGGAGTGGAAGGGTGGATTAGCAAGTTCGCGGACGATACGAAGGTGGGTCGCGTTGTGGACAGTACGGAGAGCTGTTTTAGGTTACAAAGGGACATTGATAGGATGCACAGCTGGGCTGAGACGTGGCAGATGGAGTTTAACCCTGAAAAGTGAGAGGTGATTCATTTTGGAAGGACAAACTTGAAAGCAGAATACAGGGTTAACGGAAAGATTCTTGGCAGTGTGGAGGAGCAAAGGGATCTTGGGGTTCATGATCACAGTTCCCTCAAAGCTGCCAGCCAGGTGGATAGAGTTGTTAAGAAGGCGTATGGTCTGTTAGCTTTCATTAATAGAGGGATCAAGTTCAAGAGCTGTGAAGTTATGCTCCAGCTATACAAAAACCTGGTTTGGCCACATCTGGAGCATTGTGTCCAGTTCTGGTCGCCTCATTACAGGAAAGATGTGGAGGTGTTGGAAAAGGTGCAGAGGAGATTTACCAGGATGTTGCCTGGAATGGAGGGAAGGTCTTAGGAGGAAAGGTTGAGAGAGCGAGGGCTTTTCTCTTTAGAACGACGAAGGATGAGAGGTGACTTGATAGAGGTATAGATAGAGTGGACAGCCAGAGATTTTTTCCTAGGGTGGAAGTAGCTATTACGAGGGGGCATAGTTTTAAAGTGAGTGGAGGTAGATATCGGGGAGACGTCAGAGGTAGGTTCGTTACTCAGAGTGGTAGGGGCGTGTAATGCATTGCCGGAGAGGGTAGTGGAGTCGGCCTCATTAGGGGCATTTAAGCGGCTATTAGATGGGCATATTGATGATAGTATAAGGTAGGGGTGGAGGTTAGATAGACTTTAGGATTAGGGTAAAAGCTCAGCACAACATCATGGGCCAAAAGGGCCTGTACTGTTCTATGTTCTATTATTTACGAAGGGTGATAGGTATAGACTGGAAACTACAGGCCATGAATCTAACATCTGTATTAGAGAAACTACTGGAAAACATTCTGAGGCGCAGAATTAATCATCATTTTGACATGCAAAGATTAAATCAAGGACAATCAGCATGGCTTTGTAAGGAGAATATCATGTCCAACAAACCTGATTATATTTTTCAAGGACATGATTAGGTATGTAGATGAGGGTAATGCACTTGGTGTATAACAGACTTTCAGCAAGGCTTTCGACAGTCTGGCAGACTGGTTAAGACGCTAAGAACTCATGGCATCCCAGGTAATTTGTCAATCCAAAATTAGCTAAATTACAGGAAGCAGAAGGTGATGGTCAAAGGGTCTTTTTGTGAGTGTAAGCCTGAGTCCAGTACCATATCATGGGATTCAATGCTGTGTCCTTTGTTGAGTATATTAAAATTCTATATATGAATACAAGAGGTATGATCACTAAGTTTGCAGATGATACAAAATTGACATTGTGGTAAATACAGGAGGAATGCCATACACTACATGATAATATAGAGGGCTGAATTGTGGCAAATGCAATTTAATCTTGAAAAGTGTGAGGTGATGCATGTTGGGTGGATTAACAAAAAAAGGGAGTGCACATTGAATAGGAGAATTGTAGCAAGTACAGAGGGTTCCAGGGACCTTGGTGTGCATGTCCATTGATCCTTGAAGGCAGCAGAGCAGTTAGATAAATGGATAAGAAGGATACTTGCCTTTGTTAGTTGAGACACTGAATTACAAGAGCAAGGCGGTCATGATAGCTCTGTGTATAACATCAGTTAGACCACAGCTGAAGTACTGTGTGCAGTTCTGATTGCCATACCATAGAAAGGATGTGATTGCACTCCATGCAGAAGAGATTGAACCAGGATGTTGTGTGGGCTGGAGAGATTCAGCTATGAAAAGGCTAGACAACCTTGGGTTATTTTCCTTAGAGTAGGGAATACTGAGGGAGGAATCTGAATGAAGTGTGCAACATTCTGAGGAGCACAGACCAGGTAAACAGAACAAAAAATTCCCCCAGTACAGTGGTCAAACACCAGGCAGCACAGTTTTAAGGTAAGGAGCAGGAGGTATTTTCCACCTTGAGGGTCATGAGTATCTGGAATTCATTGTCTAAAAGGGTGGTTGAGGCAGGAAGCATGAAAACAAAGAAATATTTATATGAACACTTGTAACACCATAGTATACAAGATTACTGGCAAATGCTGGAAAATAAGATT